TGACCTCAGGCTAGCTTTGTCCTTGAGGATTTAAACTGTCAACACATGCAAGGTTCTTGGCATATAAGTAAGCCCTGAAAAATGTTCAGATATTGGTTTTAATGTTATCAAATTATTACTGGTATTGTTCTTCTTACATTTACTTCATTAAATTAATGTTCGAACCAGAATAAAAATCACAAGTTGAAATGAGAGTCTCACCCTATTCCTTATAAGCTAATTATTGCAGATTTCAGGAGAGTGTTTTAATCCCTACCTTCCACTTCATCCTCACCTGACACAACGTAGACTGAACACAGTTGCACTGTCCATACAGCTAAGCTTCGGTGTAATCATGACACAACATGCAACTGGACTTGGAAAGAACTGACAAAGAAGAGATATTTATTACAAACATCCCACTTCACAGATCTGGACTCAGAGCAGTATTTTACAGGCATAGTCCTGAGGCAGGAAAAGAGTACTGAGGTTCAGAGGATGATACCCTTTTGTTTTCTGAGAGGATAATGCAATCATAAAGACTATAAAGTGGAGGGTATGGTATGACAATTTCTCTTCACTAGGCTGGAAGGAACTGAGAAGCCAAATCAACAGACAATATACTCATTTTCTAACGAATTGAACTTGTGGTGTTCACAACATCTTACGGTACTGAAACACCTGATACAAAAATTTACCCAGCATGCACTTCTCCAATTGTGAATGGGGCACATACTGCAAAGAAAGTCAGTGTGTTTTTCTATTGACACTTGTTCCAACAAAATATTCTGTTAAAAATTCTGAATGAAACAACAGAAAGAAGGGAGAATACCTTTTTGTACAGTAAAATGACAGAGATAAACTAGTGAACAAGACCATAGGGACAACAAAATAGCAGCCTAGTTAGAGACATCAGAAACAACATAATCCAGGAAAGCCAGAGAGCACTTCTGTTGACATGATTTCAACAGAATCTTATTCAGAGACCACCAACACATCTGGAAATGCACCTGGAGAAAATATAACTATCTAATCCTTGCTAAGCTGGTCTTTTTTTTTTTTTCTTATTCAGGTTACCTTTCCTCCTGTTTTTGATACAGGGTCTCATTCTGTAGTCAAGGCTAGTTGTGAAATTGTGGCAATCATCCTTGCATATACTGAGATTACAGGGGTGAATTACCATATGCAACCACCACTTTCAGTTCTAGGCCACTAGGAACAACACTAGATGGAACAAGGTGGAAACAAAACACACAAGTGTAAACACTTCTTCTTTTTCTAGTATGTTCTGGTAATGGACACATGGGTAACCTGCCCTGATGACAGGAAAGAAATATAATCCAGTATGTGGATGTGTTAGTATGATTCTTACTCAGAGACTGGGACTGAGAGGGGAATTCACCTGACATCCTTTATAACAAGCCCCAAAGTCAAGGAATTCTAGCAACAGTAACATAACATAGTAAAACAATACAACCACAACAACAAATTCAAACGTCCTCAAATTGAGGAAAATACTCACAAAATTGCACAGGAAAAAAAAAGGAATGATTCCTATTTTTAATATTTCAGGTACATACTATGAAGTAAAATGTAGGTATACTTACTAAAATATAAAAGCAGACTTTTAAAAAAAATGAGTTTATTGCTTTATTCAACAGTTCTCTTCCAAGTTCCTACAAGACCCACTATGTGTGTCAAGAAACCATCAATTCATTTAAATAAAAGTGTCTGTTGGGTTCATATATCTGAGTAGACTTCAAGTCATATGACTCTCTACTTGTGGCCAGCTGTTTTAAATGAGTATGTTAAGTAATTTAGACACTTTTTTTTTTTGCAAAGGCGGCATGATTTAATAAATTCCCATATGCCTCAACATGTGCCAAGCCTACCAGGTTATCTTCAGTGCAGCTGCTGTTATGATAATAGCTGCCAACTTTCAAACAACTGAAGAGAATAATGAATAAGCTATGAGCTGGCTCACAGGTAAACTTAGATTGCTCCCAGCTAAAATGTGGGCCATTTTCAACTGTAAAAGAAAATTAATTAAAAAGAGTTCACCTCCTGTCCACTGTGTGAGAAACAGGGCTCAATAAGGACCTTTGCATTTGTAGCTTTAAAAACCTGAAGCTTCAGGTAAGCTCGTTATATCTGTGTATTCCAAACTTAATGCTATAGGTTGTGGTAAAGGCTGGCTTTGTGAGGAGACAGATTGGGAAATGCCTCATCCCTCATTCACAGCACAAAGATCTGAGAGCCTCACAACATTGAAGGAAGAAGTAGGTGGCGTCCACGCATTAAAGACTCATTACAAAAGGCTCCAAAGATGTTAGGGAAAATGAGATATATAGGGGAAGAAACACACTTATATACATGCATGGAATTGTCAAATAATAGTTAATAAAAATAAGGAAAAGAAAACAAAGAAAAGGTAAAGATCCATCAAATACAGCAGCTTCTATCAGGATGATTTAGTGATCAAATCAGAATAAGTGAACCTTTCTAAGAATGGCAGTGTCACACTGAACATTAATAAATACCAGGCAAAACAATATTATTGGTCTTAGAGTAACTCTGGGATTTCAGTACTTCTAGAATAAATGCAAATTTATCTCGCATAAAGACATGCTAGTTTTTAATGGGGTAACGAATGAAGACTAGCAACCAGTGTAATATTCCATCTACTTCTAACTGCCTATAATAACTGAGGATTACTGATTGGATGGATGAGGTTCCTCTAAGAGGCTGGACAAGTTGTCTTCACGAGAACAGAGCTCCTATGTGTTGCCTTCATGAATGACTTTATAGGGTACTTACGGTCTTCTCAGCTGTCTCGTTGGCTTTGATTCAGTTTGCCACTGTATTCTACTTATTACCTAACTGAAAACTTCACTATACAGGTTCACTTCTTCCTTGCTGTATGAGGGTAATGCTTAGTAAATTTTAAACTCCCCTGTAGATGCAGATTGGCTACCATCATACTTCATACTTGTAGCCATAGAAACTTGTGAAATTGTGAAATTAAGCACATGTGTGGGATGGAGTATATTCTCCAGGCATCTTTAGATTTGTTTGCTAAGGATCTCTGAGGTCTGTGATGCTGGAAACACTAAAGGATCCTATTAGAGTTCTTGGTTCTAATATCTCTAGCTATTCAGATTAACCTTGGGAAAGTACATAAATGCCACAGATACCTGAGACTACAAGGAAAAGCCTCAGAATTTATTCTGTGGAAAATGGCAAGGGAAGACTTTCTAACATCTTAATGTGACTCTTATCTGACCTTTATACAGTTCATGGAGGCTACTGAAAATGTGCAAGATGCAACACATTCAACAGGTCTGTCTTCAGAGCAAATGGAAAGGCCAGAATTTGCTGTGACACTATTGCCCAGTTTAGTCACCACAGGAAGTCCCCCAAACAACTGGGTCACCACTTACACAACCCAGGTAGAGCAGAGGTGTTGAGGTCTTACCTCGTTTCATTCCAGCACAGGAACCCAGAAGTACTTGAAAGGGATTCTGGTCTATTCAGTACAAGGGGAGGTTTGCCTGCACTAGCAAAATATTGTATAACATGAATGAAATGTGCATACTCTTTTTTGCCACTGCAACATGAAAGGTAAGAAATTTCACAAGAATAATAATTAACTTACTATTTTGGAAACTTTTTCCAGTGCCATAGTGTTTGGAAGGATTTTACTACATGAGACAAGTTTACCTACAAAAGCAACCACCAATGCAATGAAAGAATATGGCATACATATGGCATAAAAATCCACATTCTTTAGCTTGGGCCAGTTCTACTCAAAATCCAAGAGTGTAGGAGATAGGATTTTCAATGACTCTGTGTTACTTTGAAGACTGCATACACTTTAATGCTACAATTACACAGTCCTGGAGTAAATGCACTTCCTATTCCTGATTTGATTATATGAACAATTAGCCGTATTTGTTTGAATGTACCTTAAATGTCTTTATTCTTCCTGATTAAAATAATCAAGGCCTGCCTAAAGGTAGAGAAAAACCTGAAAGATATGTTAAGAAAGATGAGAAGAGGAAAGGGGAGAAGATGGGAAATGGTGTATGCCATAAAAATTAGTGAGCAATTAACAGTGGAAAAAATAATTGCTTACAATTTGTATAAAGCAATCATGCCTTGTAGGACAGCGATGTGGCGCAAGAGCACAGAATTATGAATAACGAGATGGGAACAGCAGCAGGGGGGGTAAAACATCAATTACAGACAGCAGAGAGGGCCACAGCGCAAACGTGCCAAGAGAAAAGACACATTCCCAGAGGTGGTGATGGTGCCCTAGACTTGAGGAGGGTCTAGGTGACTGTGGCCAGCACCTCTGTTTCCTGCCTTGTCTAATCACAGAATGCATTTCATGTTTGGAAGAGAGAGTCTGAAGAACGTAATTATGGACTGCAAGTGTTTTTCTGTGGAAGCAAAATTATCATTCATGTCTGAGATTGTGTAAATATGCCTTAATTTTGGTCAACATCAATCTGAACTCAAGAAAATACAATCCTCCAGCCTCGCTGTACACTGCAAGTACTCAAGATAACTAGAGGGATCAGTGTGTCAGAGCAAAAACATTCCAGAAGCTGTGAAAACCCTAGTCAGAGGAAAATGATCCACTCTGCAGTGACAGACTCAGTCTCTTCCTCCATATGAGAGCCAGCTCACAACTTACAAAGGCCATAAGAAAGGAGATGTAAAGGCTAGAGAAGGGAAGGCAGTTCTTAGCCAGCAGGTCAGGTATGAAAATCATCACAATTCGACCTGCCTTAGGAAAGTGGGCAAGCTTACACAAATTACCAGAGCACCGTACACTCATGGAAGTGGAGAGAAGAAACCACATTAAGGGCCCCAAGGAAACTAGAGGCTCTGAGAGCTTCCGGAGTCTCGCCCTCTGCCATGGACCTTAACTTTGAGGGTAGCGTAAGTGTTCTGCCACCACACACCTCAGGAAGAAAGAATGAAAGGGCTAGTTTCCTAAGTGTTAGCAGACTTACTTCTCCTTGAGAAAATCCACAACTCTTTTGAAGTCGGCCACGCAGTACTCTCTCTTCATGTCCATGAGCACACTGTCAGAGGCAGACTGTACTGGGATGTGGAGAAAAGCGTAGACTCTGGGGTGGTTGAGGATTTTTGCCATTTCCTGAGAGAGATGACAGGAGAAACATTCATCATTTTAACAAATCCGAGGCAGTGCTTTCCTTCAGAACTACACATGTAAGTGCTGGAGAAGAAACACTCCAAAAAATGGCCTGCTCGTTATGACTCTTAAGGCAGCTTCAGCGGGCACTGTTCCAGGGTGATAGTGGGTGTCTGGTATAGTTTTCAGAGGATTCCATGGGAGAATTACCTACTTGTTCACTGTCTCTTGCAGGATTAAAAAAAAAAAAAGCGAAATCAGATAAAGCCAAAGAAAAGGTATCTTTTGAGTGCTTCAAAATTAACCAGCATTCCTTCTTCCTCACAAAGAAGTTTTGTACGCTACTTGGTGACATTAGTAGAAGAAGCCTCAGCAGTTAAGGAGCTGAGATCTCATGATTTTGTCTACTTTAACACAGAAAGTTTCATATTTAAGTGCAAAGTGTACTTTCTCAATACTGAAGATAAGAGGAGTAGAGATCTTTCTTTCCTTTAAAAAAGTTTTTTTTTAAAAAATTCAGTTTAGTTACTAATAATATGTTTCAAGCATTTACAGTGGGAAAGACACATAGCCAGACAAGAAAGAGAGCCGGCTTCCTGCTGCATGTGTGAGAGTAAAAGGCAAAGTTCAAAAGACAAGGAGAGGTGGAGAGGGATGATGAAGAGAAAGAGATGAAGATGGAGACAGTCTGTGCTGCTCTTTACCAGCGTGTGTGTGCATAGTGGTGTCTACTTCTCCAGTACAGAACAGTACAGCACCTTTTGGATATCTTTTTCAGGACTTTTCATTCTTTCTGATTCTCCTTTGTCTTCTTAGAAAAGGTTTAAACTAGACTTGTTTCATTTGTTTCCCTCAGGTTTGCTTTCTTTACCTTTGCAGCAGACATGACCCCCATTCTTCAACCTTTTCTCCTCATCCTCCCTCACCACACTTCTGTTCATCCTTACAACAATGTTCTGCAGGATTTTATAGGGTCAAACAAACAGGTAAGGCCTCGAAATGGCAGTTCAGTCACTCTCAGTCACAGGCACACCAGCCCTGCTCCCTGCTGCCCATTTCCTTCCCCTGGCTGAAAGTTAACAGTCTCATCAAAGCACAAGCAGAGAGGTGAACTCCAGCAAGCCACCTTCTTAGTGGAAGAGTAGTTATTATTATTTTTTTGAAAAGCCCCTTTCACCACGAAGAACAGATTACCAAATAAACTTACTTGTAACTACCCTTTCTCTGCAGGGCCTCTCCTAGGAATTAGGAAGTACACACACCTGGCTGTGGATAGATTGCCAAGAACTGGAGTTTCTAATGAAGTAGCAAATTTGCCAGATGCAGAACCATGGTCAGGAGTCTTTGGAACCACAACTTACCTGCTCTGCAGTGAAAATGTTGGTCCCTAGCTATGATTCCTACCTTTCTGGTTTCTTTATACCAGAAGATCAAGATACCCAAAGCTTGAGAGAAAGATCCTTAAGATCTTTTTTCTCAAGGGGCAGGACTTAGATATTCTTGGACACATCTATTGTGGTGAGAAAGAAGGTATCTGAAGACACATAATGGTTGCAAAACATAGTTACTTTTGCAGTTTCTGTTTCTGGAATTCCTCATCTGTGGAATGGGGCTGGTGATAGCACCCTTTCACAGATCCGTGGAGCTAGTATTAAAAGGCAGTAAATAATCCAGATATGCTTAAACAGTAAGAACAGTACACATAGAGAAAACACTACACACTGAGCTGTATAATGGAGTCTACGGCTGTCCTCTAGGACAGAAGAAAATGCACTTCCTGAAAGCATGTGGGGGGACACTGACTGTGAAGAGGGCATAGCTCTGGGCAAGACTTGGTCCTAAACATGTACCAGCTGATAGAAGAGTCATCAGAAAGGAAGAAGAAACATGGTGGCTTGTTTCTTTCTCCATTCTCAAAATAAGCTTCACTGCTAGCAGGCATCCTCTGCTTGATACTACACACTTCACAAATTTGGAATGTTAGGCAATGGGGCACTAAATCAAAACAGCCAGCTCCCAGCCATTAAAGCCTGTGTTTCATGAACTGAGGAAGCAGCACAGTGAGGGAACTGCTTGTCTAGGACACAAGAAGCCCTAGGTTCTAGTCCCAATACCACATAATAACAGGTGAAATGCTTTTAGCCTGCAATTCCAGCATTCCAGTGGCAGAGGCAAGGGGATCTAACTCCCAGGGCATCCTTGGATATATAGCAATCTCAAGGTCATTTGAGAGCTCCATGAGACAACAAAAAAGATTATCAACAATGCCTGTGTTCTGCCACTTCACAAGAATCCAGAACAATGCAGATTAGTGCAACCACATTTTCTGTTTTTCTTCTAGTTTTTTTCCCTTGGTGCTTTTGGTGAAGGACAACCTGTGCTTCTTCCCTTTTCAAATACTTCCTCCATTCTGGTCTCCCAGCAACCAGACTCCAGTGTTATCCAAGTGGTCCCACAGTTCTGTCTGGAAGTGATGCAAGGAATCAAAGAGTGAAAGCTACACAAGAGCAGGAATTACCTCTGCCCCTGTCTATATATGCCAACAAGAGTTCCTATGACACTAACGAGTCTTAGAGTCATTGAAATATAAAGCCATAAGGCTGCTGAGATGGTAAATGTGCTTGCTCCAAGACTGACAATCTCAGATCTGAGTTCAAGTCCCTGAGACTCAGATTGTGGAAGGCAACAAATGAGTCTCTAAAGTTTTCCTCTGATCTAAACACACACACACACACACACACCCCTAATACAAACACATACATATTTTGCATTTGCTAACAGCCGGTTTATGGACACATATTTTATGAACATATACACAAACACATATATGGACAGCATATAATAGTGGGATGAATGTGATGTTATGAAGCATGCTTGCATAATAATGAAATTAAAACAGAATAGACCTACATTTGATAGGAAGACAGAATTTTGATTAATATTGAATCAGATTGACAAAAGCGGACCCACAGGCATCAGCTTGCTTTAATTTTTGGGATGAGGGGAATTGTATGTGAATGTGTACAAAATTAAAACCCAAGACTGCAAAAACTGCCCCTAGATGTTCAGCTCTTAATCATAATATACAACCCAATGGAAGGATCTGCAGCCCACCCATTGTGCTCAGGCCCCTCCCCCCAAAGAAATGCACAGCCAGGCATGGGGCCTAGGTTCATCAATGGAACTTCAGTCCAATGCATACACCTTAAATTTACCAGAGGCCAAAGGAGAATTCAGTTCTGGTGTAGTTCTATGTATATCTGGGGTGAGTTAACATAGAGGCACAGAAATATGAGGGGCATAGTTACACACACACACACACACACACACACAGACACACGATATGTATATGAATGCCTTTGTGCTTTGAAGAGCTCAGGTAGCAAGCAGCATGAAAATACTATTTCAACATGAGGTAATTCACAATTTAAGAGTTGATACGCCAAGGCTGATCACAATATAGATGGCAACTATTTGACAGGCAGGAAGTGAAGAATGGCTAACCAGATCAATAAGCCAGTGTTTCTGTCTTGTGCTGTTATATGGAGCTGTCTTCTTAGACAATGGAAATTACATCCATGCTTATTATTTATTTCTGAACTCAAAATATCAAGAAGAAGCAATGAGCTGAATGCAAAAGGCTCAAACTTAATGGGCAATCTGGTGAGCACATACATTTTCAAACAACAGTTAAGTTTCATTTTTGTTAAACTGCAGACACCAGTGGCTGTCTGGTTTGGAATATCTACACCACCCACTCATGTATGAGTATGCAAACAAGATAGGAGCTGGAAAACCCGCTCAGCACTTAAGGGCACATACTTGTTTCCCACAGGATCTAAGTTCAGATCCTAGGTGGTATAACACCAGTTCCCTGCTCTGAACTACACTGCATGTGCACTTGTGTGGATGTAACACACCCAGATACATCATTAAAGATTAAATGAATCTCTTAAAGTATAAAGCTATATATGAATGAGAAAATGTGGCATGCATCCTTCTATCTCTGTACTACCACATGGAGTTACCTCACTTCCATCCATTTCCCTGCAAGTTTAATAATTTCATTTTCCTTTAGAGATGAAGAAAATTCCATTGTGTATAAATGCCACATTTTATTATCTATTCATCAGCTGACAGACATATATGCTGTTTCCATAACCTAGCCATTATGAGTGGAGCAGAGATGAGCCCGCTGTTTTCCTGTGGTGATACATATATTAGCCATTTTCATTATGCATACAATTTAGTGTCATCTAGTATAGCCACCAAGTCATACAACTGTCACATGTTATCTATAGCCTCAAAAGTTTTATCTTCCAAAACTAAAACTGAGCACTCAAGATCAACACTGCATTCCCTTCTCCATGGGCTCTGGGAAACACCTTTCTTCTTTGGGTCTCCAACTCTGAGGACTCGAAGTATCCAATATACATGGAATCACAGTCTGTGACTGGTATTAGCAAATTTTATTTTGCAGAGTCTTCCAAGATCCATTTCTGTAGTAATTTATATATTTGTCTTTTCTCACTTTCGGTGGCTGGTGGCTCTATTGTCATGTCAGAGGGCATCATTCAGATTTCAGGCACAGTTTTTCCTTCCCTGCAATTACATCACACATATCCTCATACCCAAAGGCTATAAATGTAAATACCATTTTATTTCTCTATTTCCTTGATCTCTAAATTATATCACAACCAAGTATCAAAATGGTTAAAGGGAAAGTTATACTTACAATATATTTGATCATAAAAATAAGTGTTCATACAACCTGTTTACATGATTCTTTCCAATGAGTACTGCAATAATTGCAAGACAATATTCAAAAGAGCAGTGCCCCAGTGCTAGATGATCCCATTCCGGAGTCACCTTCAACACTGGCAAAGTCATGCATGCCCCCACAGAAGACAACCAGGAACATATTTCATCCATGGCTTCATTAATACCGTCAGAGCAGCATTGAGTCAATCAGCAGCGCCCACATTTCCTCTCAGCAAGTGAGC